GGGGGGGGTCATCATCATTGTCTTTCTCACCCTGCACCAGGGTATAGGCGACGGAGAAACACTTTCCATCTTTTTCCATCCTGGGCTAGCCTCTTGATGTTATTCAACCATGTCTTCCCACTTTTCTGGACATCGATTTCTGTGATTCTGTGGCCGACTTGGATATATTAATATCCCACGTGTACTCCTCCGCTCCACCCTTAAAGTGAAGGAACAGGTCGTGGTCACGAAAATTTTAATTAAGTATTACTGCACGGAGAACTACACGTACATGTGCTTTACATTCTTCATTAGACAGTAATTACTGTTTAAATGGCTATAATAATAAATACAATCCATATTAGCAACTTTAGACCTATAACACTCGCGTGCGCGCACACACACACACACACACACACACACACACACACACACACACACACACACACTCACGCACACACGTTGATTGAACGAGTCATGAGTGCAGTTGGAAAATGCGTTAAAAAAGCAAAAATCAGTAATCTTGGGCCAACGGTCTCTGCTGAGCCCAACACTAAATGTCGTGACCTTGGCTTTCTTAGAAAACGAAGCCAAGGTCGTCCGAGGCATCCCAATTTTGATCCACGGTAGGCTAAGAAACAAAGTTGAATTATCATAAATAAATTTTCGAAAATATGGCGGGGTAGGGGCTATAATTTTTTAGGGGGGGGGACGCAGAGATATGACAGTATGACAAATAATAAGAATCATGAAGATATATCTTAGGGCCTAACAAAGAGAAAGGAAATTAAATTGGTTCTCCCCTAGACGGCTCTGGACACCCGGTGGAACTTTTTATTTAACAGGCGCGCCGTACAAGTTTCACACCACGCCACAGAATTCTAGGCCTACACTTAGAATTCTGTGCACCACGCACACCACGAGACATATGCGGCATGCGGTGATGTTGTGTTGTTGTGCTCATCATGCACGTGGATGATGCTTTGATGTTCAAGATTCTAGATCGTCTCGATTGACGACATCCAACCACCCTCTAAGCCCCATGCGTGTAAGTTTTTCACTCGACGACTTAAATTTCATGTTTGAATATATCTTTCAACTCGCATTCTCGTTCTCTTACTCACCTTCATTTTTCAAAGCAGGCTGACTGATTGAAACCTCCGGAAGGCCTAGACTCTAGATCTAGATCTAGAAATCTAGATCTAATCTAGATCTAGATCTAGAGTCTAGATTCTAGATCTAGAATCTAGGTGTCACGAGTCACAGTACTCAGTACGGCGATTGTCAAGATTTCCGCGTTTAATTCCGATGTTCGCTTTTCAAAGCCTAAAGTATGTTTTGCTTTGGTCCCTTTGGAGTTAGGGTCAGGGTTAGGGTCAGGGTTAGTAGGGTTAGGGTTGAAGAGTTAGGGTCAGGGTTAGGGACCAAAGCGAAACATACCTTAGGCTTTGAAAAGCGCACATCGGAATTAAACGCGGAAATCTTGACAATCGCCCTCAGTACGACGTGTGCCATAATCTAAACCCCAACTTCACCTGTTCCTAGTGACTGTCGTAAGTTGTAAGTAGGCAAATCACATTATATTCTAATTTTACTTTAGATTTAGAGCCTTATTGTGCAGGTTAGGCGTCTAGGCTTAGACTAGATAGATCTAGATCTAAATCTTCTAGATATCTATAGATCTATCTAAATAATCAGACTAATCTGGAGTCTAGTGTTAAAGATGTTTAGCTATTAATGAAAGTCACCTCAAGGTCAAAATTCGTGAAATGTTTATGGAAGAGGCTAGCCGTACTTATTCTAAATATGATGGCTAGACTGACCATTTAAAAAACGAAGTGACTATTTCTCCGAACGTTCGGAGAAATAGTGCCGATCTTTATTTCTCCGAACGGTTTTCGGCTTCCGGTCTCGTGATTTTTTGCCTATTTATTGCGAGAGTTCGGCGCCAACTTTCATTCTGCCTCTGGTCTGGGAAGGAACACGTACCGCATGGCAAGCCCGCCTACAGACAACCTTCAGTAACACCCACCACACACCCACCACCATCATGCACATGTACACACACTAACTAAACATAACTAGTGGGCAACTTTTGAACGTACGAGCTGAACTGTGGATGGAGAGACAGTGTGAGTGAAAGAGCGGGTGAAAGGAAGAATGTGCGAGTGTATCCACAGGCGACAGCAACTAAAAGACGACGACACTGACCACCCCTGGCCTGGTCCACAGCTCACGAACAAAAGGAATGCAGCTCAGGCGGTGTTTTGCCTATATTATTGTCCATGGTTCGCAGGGAACAAGTGAGATTTTCTTTGTGTGTGCCTGGAGGGATGGGGTGGGGTATGAAAGTCATGCGGACGGGGATGAGCCGCGGGAGAGAACACGGGAATTGAATGAAAGAGTGAAACTGAAAGAGACGAATGACTCATGAGTCCTGGAGTGAATGGATCCTGTGTTTCTATTTTTGTATACTTTGAACTGTTACTGAATAAAGGCTGAAATACAGCCCGAAAAACAAACACACACACACACACACTCCTCACTCTCCACTTACTACCACACACAGACACACTCAAACACTCACACATACATACACACACACACACACACACACACACACACAGGAGCAAATTTTTGGGTCTATATCTATTTAAATTTTCAACAGCTAGTCTAGATGAGATTTTTAGATGAGTGTAAAAACGTGAAAAAGAAAGGTTTCATAACAGAAAGAAATCAAAATTAGAACAGCCCATAAACAACAACAAACATTAACAAATAAGGGCGTGTGTCCACCTGTCCGAAGAAGATTGGCAGTTTTAACCCTAAATGTGCGTAATTTTAAAAAAAGTACAGGATATTACATGTAAATTATGGAATCACACACATTAAGGGGCTTGCCAGTGTCAGTACATTGGTCGCAGCAGTGACAAACGCAGATGCCAGTTCTATGTGTCGTTATCAATAACCCTCCGTAGATCTAGATCTAGACAGCACACGAGTGAACACAACACATTACGTTTAAAAGCAGCACCTTTCATAGGCAACACGTCATATCTATAGCGAAAAACTGTTTGGAATTGTAGCATTTCTTTATATAAATATTTACGGCGGACATTTTTTGGACCGATTGAACCATATTGTATACGAACAATCTTTGGTAGGCCCATACTATAATTATAGATCTATATAATATCCGAAATTTGGGGGAAAGGATGATATTTCAGAGTGTTCGGAGAAATAGTGCCCAGCTTTATTTTCCTGAACGTTCGGAGAAATAGTGCCCAGCTTTGTTTTCCCGAACGTTCGGAGAAATAGTGCCCAGCTTTATTTTCCCGAACGTTCGGAGAAATAGTGCCGGCCTTTAAAAAAGGCCGTCGTTATTCGGACTCGAGTCCGAATAACATTTTTTCATATTCGAACTCGAGTCCGAATATGAAAAAATGTTATCGGACTCGGGTCCGGAAGAAAGGAAGTGTCTTCGTTCTGTAGATCTAACGTTAAGTGCTTCCAATTTTCCGCCATTTTTTAGTTTCCCCCACACCTTATCTGCCGATCAAATGCCCGCCGCCTCATTGATACGCCCCCACCCCCCATGTTTCCCACTTTCTTTGTTGTAGAAAAAGGTAAAATTGAAAATAAACAGACCACCTGGCACCTATACATGTGAGCTGTGTAAAAAAAAAAGACCGATTCGTTCAAATACACAAGCCTGTGTCATCTCGATTGTTTACCAAGAAAAGGTTGTGTTGGTGTGTAGAGCCGAGCATACGGCAACTTTTGATTCCATAGACCAGCGCACAATTCATTACGTAGATCTACGTCAAGACTAGCTTATTATTGTAATAATGATCAGTTGCCGGGGGATAAAAGACAGACGCGCATGCGACGTTCAACGCCCGGATGGATAGTGCCCCCCCCTTTCCCCGACACGCACACACAGCGACACGTGTGCAGGCCGCCCTTCCGACCCCGACACACGCTAACGAGCCATCTTAAATTGCTTCTGGTGACCTCTTGACAAATATACATTTATTAGAAGCGCGATAACTTTTCAGGCCGGCCTCAAATTCATCGTAAGATAAAAACTCGGCTCCTGCACAAAACGCCATTTTGCCCGAAGTGATCCCGGTCTCTACCCAGCCTGAGGCGAGTCACGAGTGAGGCAGGACAGGAAGCAGGAGTCACGAGTCACAGGAAGTTGTAAGTCGGAAGTGATGTCACGCTGGACAAGAATCAGTCCGAATAACATTTTTTCATATTCGGACTCGAGTCCGAATAGTCACTTCGTTTTGAAAAAGGTAGCGTCAATTGCCACCGAGTGATGCGGTGGCAATTAACAAAAATTGACTTTTTGTCAAGGCTGCTCTTATTGGCCCACATGGGCAAATAAGCTGGGGCTTATTGGCCCACACGGGCCATTTAATGCGTTGTTTTTTCAAAGTATTTCATACACATGATATTGTCCCAACTTGTTCTCTAACTTCTTAGCTATTGTTCATCTTTTTATTTTTAGCATTAAAAGATTGGAAAACTATACATTCTCAATTTAAAATTGATGGACCAATTTGTTGAGCTATTTTTGAAGATAAGAGGACTTTTCGTTCTTTCTCTAGCTTTAATAGTTTTTTTATTATTAAGTTTAAATAAGGCTATTACTATTTTAGCATTCTGTATCCTTAATAACACAAATGAGTTTTTGTTATCTTTTGGGGTCTTGTTGGTTTGGGAGTCATTCTAGATCTAGATCTATACTCCTTAATATTATAGTAGAAATTGACTTACTTTCAGGTGTAAAATATAATTTTAGCTTAAGCCTTAGAGAAGTGTATAATTATAATATAAAATAATTTCTCTGATATTTAATGGGGATTTTGCTGTTGTATTTACATTTAAAATTATCATTTGTGGATTGGGGGGGGGGTTGCGCCAAACACAGGGGAGATAACTCGCAATTTTGTGGGCAAATAATAAATGTTCTAGGGGAAATTTTATATGCCCCTGTGGGCCAATAAACACTCCGAGTGAAGCGGTGTCAAGTCTGAAAACAACACTATCTTTAGCATTATATAATGCGTGTCTAATGGGTCAATTTGTTTTCAACTAAAATTTCATTGGACGAGCATCTAGTCTAGAGCTACGGTACCAACTTCACGTGTTTTCAATGAGACGTAGGCCTAGATCTAGGCTAGGTTTAGCCTACACTTTGGTGTAGAACCAACACAGGCAATTCTAGAAGTAGAAGGTCACAAACGCACACAAACTCAAACAGAAATTCACGTTATATCGGGGAACACAAATCGGGGGGCGGGGGTCAGGAAAAGACACACACACACAAACACAGAGAGGGACAAAGAGGCGAACGCACAACACCAAGCACTCGAGCACAATAAGCTAGATCTACCCCCCACAACGCAAAAGAGCTCCAACCAATTTACTCGGTGGCAATTGACAATATTTTTGTCAATTGCCACCGTGTCACTCTGTGGCAATTGACACTACCTTTAAAAAAAAAAGGCCTACTGAATTGTAAATATAAATTTTGGAAGAGGCTAGCCGTACTTAATGACGGCTATACTGGCAGTCTAGCCGTACTTAATGACTGGCAGTACGGCTAGACTGGTTGGCTAGCCGGCTAGACTGGCAGTTTAGCCGTACTTATTCTTAATATGATGGCTAGACTGACCATTTAAAAAAAAAAGGCCTACTGAATTGTAAATATAAATTTTTAGTGTGCAGTACCTAAAGTATTTGTATTTGAGACGAAACCAGGTGCCTTAATGAGAGTGCATGTATTTTAAACCTCCTGTTTTCTAGTGTCTAAAGGGCCTAACATAAGTACGGCTAGACTGGCAGTCTAGCTACGGCTAGACTGTCAGTGTAGCCGTACTTAATATTGATGGCTGAATTTTTTGTTTGCAATGCCTAAAGTATTTGTATTTCAGACAAAACCAAAAGGTGCCTTACTGACTTGCATGTATTTGAACCTGAATAATTACCAGATCTAGATCTAATGAGAGCTGTGTACTTAACAGGCTTGAGTCGATAGGGCCAAACCTTGATCTAAGTACGGCTAGCCACTTCGATAAATTTTTAGTGTGCAGTACCTAAAGTATGTATTTGAGATGAAACCGGTGCCTTAATGACAGTGCATGTATTTTAAACCTCCTGTTTTCTAATGTTAATAGGGCCTATGATAAGCGCGGCTAGACTGGCAGTCTAGCCGTACTTAAGTACGGGTAGACAGCCAGGCTAGCCGTACTTAAGGGCGGCTAGACTGTCAGGCTAGCCGTACTTAATATTGATGGCTGAATTGTAAATTAAATTTTTAGTTTGCAATGAGAATGCCTGAAGTATTTGTATTTCAGACAAAACCAAAAGGTGCCTTACTGACTTGCATGTATTTGAACCTGAATAATTACTAGATCTAGATCTAATCAATGAGACTGTGTACTTAACAGGCTTGAGTCGATAGGGCCAAACCTAGATCTAAGTACGGCTAGACTGGCAGTATGTCGAATGTTTATATAGACCTCTATAGAATCTATAGGCCTATATAATGTAAAAGTAAAGGTAGATCAAGTCTAGTGTCAATTGAAACGTGACACAGTAGCTCTACTGTGCCCGCGTTACACAACTTAGCCTTACCTCTAGACTAGTATAGATCTAGGCCCTAGGCCTACTGTGCCCATTTGAGTGATTGACTCAGCGTCAGTAAAATTGACACCGACTGTTAAGTTTGGACACAAAACTGTCTTAGAGTGAGTTTGGTTTGAGGAAGGTGTTCTTGGGAGTCAACTCCCGATAATGTCAACTGGTTATATTGGGAGTCAACTGCCCAGCTGATCAGTTGATGTTATTGGGAATCACAAAAATGCCATTGCTTTTTACTCTAAGGGTTTTGTCAAGGTTCCTTTGCAAAATTATGAAAGCTGATTCAATCGGCTTTAAAAAAATAAAAATATACAAAGCAGCTTTCTGAGTCGAGTCTACTTCATTTACCTAAAAGTAAAAAGGACTTCCGCAGTTTGAGTTACCACCGTGGACAAGCGCGGCTCCCTCCGTATACCAGTCTACCCTTTTTTTTTTTGTCGGACATGTCACGGTAAGTGATGAACAGAAAAAGTAACGATTTCATTCTGCATGTATTTGTAACGGAAGAAAAAAAAAAGGAAAAAAGAACCTAACCCTAAAACTTACCTTAATCAGGGGAGCAAGCCCCCTAGAAAAGCGAAGGACTACGTCCAATCAGGGGGATTGCCCCCCCTGAACCCGAAAGTAGCACCAGGGGTGAGAATATCCTTTGTGTCTCGCTATTCTCACCCCCCTCGGTGTGCTCGAGGATAGGCCTACCATGAACAGCCAACGACTGAAAATAAAACAACCAAAAGAAAAAAACAAAAAACGAGCTACAATAGATCTAGATATGGTTATGCAAGAACAAAATGTCAAGAGCAGTCTAACACATCTAATACTTACCGGTCCTCACAATGATAGCCTAATTTTCAGAGGGCTATTTGATTTTGAAATATTAAAATAAAAGGTCTATGGCAACGGTAATTGGTAGTCTGCCTACATGAGGAAACAAGCGACCAGCACTCATGAGTCATTTCCCAACCACATGCGGTAAGCCACTTAGGGCCTAGGTAATTTTGTCGGCCTTCCAGAGGTCAGAGGGGAGTCTTCCCCTCATGCCCACTTCTGGGGTGGGGGTGAGAATAACGGGTCATGAGCTTTTCTCACCAGGGTTGAGAATATAGGTGGCCTCTGACACACACATCCCCCTCACGCTACCCTAAAAGAAAGAAAAAACTCATCCTAATCACACTCAAACTAATCACTGGCTTATAATCACGAAAATTACAGAAATTACCCCCGCCTCCTCCCCCCTCACTGTCTCATAATAAAAGGAAGGATTTCCATCTGTAACAAGCAACCACCTCAACAAACACAATAAAGAAGAGACCTAAAGCAACCCAACCCCTGTCCTTAATCCTACCCCTATCCTTACTCCTAAAATAGCACAAACCACCGCTATTTTGTCTTGACTAGGTCCGATGTAAGTAATCTCTGACTCCTAATAGCGGCAAATGGTTAATTAATGGGAGTCGACTCCTAATAATGCCAAATGATTATAGAACGTCGACTCCCAATAACCACTTCGTTGTTTTTAACACAGTGAATGTTTGATTTTGGCATTGAGATGAATTAAGGTTGTTGTAAGCCTACTTAACACTTTGTAATTGATTCAGGTTAAGTTAGTTATTGACTTAGTATTTATCGCCAAGTGACTCTGTAAGTGTAAGTGACACTCAGTCCAATGAGTATGAGTCTTAATACTTGACACAGAATTGGCCATACTAATATGTGAAAAGATGCAAAAAGATAATTAGATATGATACCGGTCCTAATTGGGAGGGTGTCCCGCGCGCTCATATGACCTTATGATGCAGTTGCGAGTGCCATAAAACACTTCAGAGTCTGTGTGTGTCTGTATGTGCTTGTGTGTGTGTATCTGTATATTATCTTTGTGTGTGATTGTATGTGTATACAGTAATATTGTCGGAGTGTGAGTGTGTGGCTGTGTGTGTCTGCTGTGTGAGTGTGTCTATGTGCATCTGTGAGAATTTGTCTGTGTGAGCGTGTCTGTCCTGTGTATGTGTGTCTGAGTGTGTGTCCGTTTGTGTTAAACAGTCTACTGTCTGTGTGATATACCTGTGTATACTCTGTTGTGTACATGGTTTAGTTTTACATGACCAGCATCTGGTGGTGTAGTTGTTAAGCACTTCGCTGTTGCAGACAGAAGACCTGAGTTCAATTCACATGTTGGTAGAATTTTCATCGATTATAACGGTCTTTCTGCTGGAATGTTATATATCCGTCTCAGTCTGGGTAGGCCCGGACAGGCAGAGTTGAATTCCACCTCCTAAATGATCTACATTTGTTGCATCGACGGGTGTGTGTAAGAAGACACCTCCAATGAAAAAAAAAGCTCCTGAAGTTTTTTCCTTGGTCAAGGTAATTTTTTTAATGATTTGGAAATGGAAAATAAACTTTTTAAAGTTGATTAAGAAAAAGAGCTTTTCTGTTTAAAAGGGATTGTCTTGTTTGGATCAGCTTATGGCCACCATTTTTCTTGTTGTTGAGAGTTTGATTTTTGCCACCGATTATGACTTATGATCCAGGAATTAAGTCCAGTTCAATCTTGAGTTTGCAGTGGTCACTGAGTCGTATTAATTAAATACAATTTATTATGCTTCATTAATGAGACTCCAATCTTTTTTCTTTTTTGTCTTGTCACAGGAGAGAATGTTGCTGCCTTAGATGATCATGTCTTCAGAAAGCGATCTTCCCAGCATGCAACAGATGACGTCAGTGATCCAAATGTACTAGCCAGTACAACAATTTAAGTTTATTATTCTCGATGTGCTATGGACAGAATGAGTGCCAATAGTAAATGTATCAGTCGTTCACCTGCTGGCCCTGCAAGGCGACGATCTCAGCGTATCGCACGAAGCACTTGGAGGAATGACAGTGCAGTAGATCCTGCACGGCAAACATCTTTAAGTTCAGCACCATCTTTCAGCGCATACAGCAAAAAGTATGGCCTGCGGTCTTCTGAGAGTAAGACAAAAATACAACAAATGCCTGGGAACTCTTCTGGGAAAAGAAAGCAAAGCAGCCTTGTCTCTGATTTGGAGACTCCTCCTACAAAAAATCTACGAACGTCAAAGCAAGCTACCTCTGAAACAGTGGCGGACAGTTCCAGGGCTGGCCCAAGCCAGTTTGTTTCTGTCAACGCGAGAAAGAAACTGCAGTCGAACTCAAAGCCCTCCCCTGCTGTGAAGTTATCATCAGATCTTGTTGATGCTGTGATTGCTGGGCAGTCCAGGAAAGTGGCTAAAATTCTAAAGGCTCTCGGCCATACTGATACCACAGGTATACCTTTTCAGTGGGTTAAAGACACTTGTTTGTATGAAGCTGTATTTCGGGGAAATTTGCTCATGGTACAAACTTTAATCTACAACGGTGCAGATGTTTCGTTTGAACAACACGGACGAAATTGCTTACGTCTGGCAGTTAAAAGGGGATATGTTGATATTGTAGAGTTTCTTTTGTCATACTTGTCAAGGAATATGATAAAGGAACGCATAATTGAGGGCACTGATAGATGTGGTAACACCCTTCTCATCCTATGTCAGAGAAGTAATGCTGCAGCTCACTTCACCAAGATTCTGTTGTCGGAAGGAGCAGCAGTCAATACTCAAAACAAGGAGGGGGAGACTGCACTGATGAAAGCCGTGAGGTCTCAAAACTTGAAATCTGTGTTGTATTTACTGAAGGCTGGGGCTAATGTAGAACTCAAAAACAAAAAGGGAAAGACTGCAAGATCCTTGGCAGCTGCCATGGGCATGAAGGGCTTGATAGATATATTAGGTCCAGACTCTAGTGAGCAGGCCTTGAGCCCTTTAATGAGAGCAGCTAAAGCCCAGAAGATGACTCTTTTGGAATTATTACTAATATCAAGGATGTTTGAAGTAAATGGGGAAGAGCTTGGTGATGAAACAAAGAAAGACACTGCTCTTTCTATGATTTTCAATTCAAAGTGGAAAAATGGGCCAGTTCAACTCACTGGTACCAGACGGGACAGTGAATATTTGAAGTCTGGTTTTCTCCCTTTCACTGTCAAAGAAAGAGAGGTCATTGCAATACTGGTGAAAGGAGGTGTTAGTATTCATACTGGAGGAAGATTTACTGTTTGGAACAGTCCTTTTCTTACTGTGCTCAGGCTTGGGGATTACAATCTTCTGAACATTTTTATCCAAGGACAAAAATGGATTGGAAATGGTGCGTCATATGCCAAAGCACTTGAGATTGCAGCCACTGATGGTCGTTGTGATCTTATAGATCTTCTGACTCCAGCTGTAAAGTCTTTGTCTATTCTCTTTGATGTTCGTGCTGTGTGGGGAGAAGATTTCCAACAGGCTTTACATGCAGTCTTGAGGGTAGGCAGCAGGCAATGTGTGTATCGAATCTTGGACCTCGTACAAGATATAATTGATTTCACGCAAGCCATGTCAACGGCGGCAAATTCAGGTCGTTACTCGATTTTCATGCTTTTGAGAAATGCTTTCCCGAAAAAATTTGAACTTCTCATATCCCGTGATGAAGGGACAGAATGGCTGTCCCACGCTTGTTTAGGCAACTGTTTCACCATTGTGAACAGCCTTCTGAAATCTGGTGCGGCTCCCAATGGTAAATTAACATTGGACCAGCCTCTAATATGCTCAAAATCTGCAATGGTCTCTGAATTGCTCTTACAATATGGTGCGGATGTGAACAGGCCCTGTCTTTTGCTCGACCCTTTAGATGGCACGTTTCACGAAACCACAGCTCTGTGGCGGGCAGTGGTCTCCAATTCCATTAACATTGTCAGGGTTTTGAAGAAGCATGGGGCGACTACAGACATCAGTCTAGTCAATATTACTCTCTTGGGGGACTTTTGTAGTCGGAAAATGCAGAGGTTGATTCTTAATTTTGACTTTGATCCCAATCAAGCGGATAGACAAGGAATACTTCCAATTTGGGTTGCTGCAAGTAGAGATGACGTGGAATCTCTTGAGACCCTCATCAAGAAAGGTGCTGACGTGGATCTGAAAACTTTTTCTTCACCACCCGCCCTTGTTACTGGGGCTGAAAGTAAAAGTCCAGAGGTCATTCGCTGCTTGCTTAGTCATGGTGCAGATGTGGACAATACTGATGTGGATGGTGACACACCTCTCATTGTAGCCGCTGTATCTGATGATGGGACCATCATACGAATGCTCAGAGAAAAAGGTGCACAACTTAACGCTACTAACTGTACCGGTCGTACAGCTCTGATGGTAGCATATAATGCCAAGAACTTGGCAGCGTTTTACTGTTTGCTTGATCTTGGCGCAGACCTAAATGTCAAAGAAAATGGTGAAACTTTGCTGTCCAGGTCGCTTCGTGAGAGGCAAGTTGACCCACTGTATGTTCAAGCACTTCTCATGCATGGAGGAAAAGTGTCATCAAGGGAAGCTCTGTTTGCTGTCCACAACTGCATTGCCACTAAACAACTGGGCGTTCTGTCCACTTTGATACACTGTGGGGGTTTTATTCCCACTCTCTTAAATGAGCACTCACCTTTCTGTAGGGCTCAGTTCCCGCTAGTGTCAGCTTGTGCAGATGTCTTCTCTCCCCTTTGTATGGCACTTTTATGTAACCGTGTGGAGATTGCTCGGGACATGCTGAAAGCTTTCTTTTTAACAGCGTCAGATCTGACTCTTTTGCCGAGACACAAAAAAGTGAGAGAACTACTGAATGGCAGAGGGTACCTTGAGAGTCTGCAGGTCCTTGACGAAATGTCATCCTCCCCGCCCTCTCTGAAACTGCTCTGTTTTGTTCAGGTGTCTGATTTGTGTGGCCCTGTACCAGGGCGCAGGGAGAGAGTTGCCCAGCTTGAGCTTCCAGTTTGTTTGAAAGAGTCTCTTATGTTCACTGCCAATGATCAGTCTATTGGGAGAAAGTGCTGCTGCTTGGTGGAAGACCCATCTGAATTGCAAATTGGAAGCTATGCGGGCGATGGATATTCTATTTGGGGTAGAGATGAGATGAGGGATCCATTTGTACTGAGCTAACTAGTCAAACGTACAGTTGATTGTTGTGAATTCAAAACCATTGATTATTGATTGGTAGTAAAGGAGTGACATGACAGTTGAATCAGGCACTCGTCAAAGTTTGGGCATATATGAAGTAATTGGGAAAACAGTGTCTGCCTAACAGCAACCCTTTTGAGAAGCAGGCCATGATTGTTGTTTGGTATTAAGTTGTTGCTAAACGGACGCTCTGAGGGGGGGGGGTTAAATCTGCAATCCCCAAACACTCGCGCGCACACACACACACACACACACACACACTCGCTCATGTGTCCTAATTGCAGGATGGAGTGATGTTGTAATATCAGAAAGTAATAACAATAGGCAGCAACAGTAGCTGAGGTTTGATGTACTCAATCTTTGTAAGATGGTATTGTTATACACAGTGTCCGAGATATCCCCCCAGCTCTCGGGGAGAGGTTATGAATACTATGAGTGTACCCAATGTAGTATATTTTTGGCCATAGCAGGTTTTGTGGATAGGGAGGATGCATACAGGAATTATAGGCCTAATCTAAGTGTGACATGCTGATTTTGAATAGCCAAAAAATATATTTATAGCAACAACGATTGTTAGAGGGAAAGGTTGCTGTTAATGGGAGGGGGGGGGGGTTATTGGAAAATTCCTAATTCCGTGCCGTTATACAAGGTAAAGTTGCTGTTAGGTGGTGGAGGTGGCCAGTGTCAGAGATAAAATAAGTGAGAGAAAGTGGTTGCCAAAGTTGGATGGCTTTCAAAACTTGAGCGTTCTTGGAAAATGCAATTTTATGTTTTTTATAACATTGATCATTTTAAGTTCCCCTACAAATGTGTTTGACGGGTGCCTGATTCCACCACGATGCCACACATATTTTGTACAGGATATTTTAAAATTACACGGTGGCATCTGGTTCAGTCGAATTTTAAGTATAATTTATAAAAATTCCTTTCAAGACAGTTTCTAATGCCTCTATTGCAAAAATGAGCACATAAGTGTGCTTTTCCCCCCTTTTTTTTCAAATTATTTTTTTTTAAAGTTAGTGCTGTTTTGAAGCTTTAAGTGAATGGACACATTCATTTTGAAAAGTGTAGTTTCAGTATTTTATTTTATCATCATACTCTAAATTCTTCAGTGTTGAAAGGGTAGTTTTAGTTTTCAACCCATACTTTTATTAGTAACCTAATTTTGAAAAAGTTTTGTCCCACCCTGTGTTTTTAAGTGTTGTACCTTTGTTCATTGTCTGTCATTCCCAGTTCTTCTTATACCATGGAAGACACACATTACGTTGTGCTCTTTGATAATAAAATGTATTACTATTAGAATTAACAACAATTTACTCATCATTTGTCAATTCCTCTGCATAACTGTGGGAGAGTTTTTGTCTGTTATTTCTTTCTTCTCCCAAGATTACTTTTTTTTTCCCCCAGGGGTGGTGGATTTGTGGAAAGGTTGTGAGTGGGTGTAGAAGGTTTGGGGGGTGGGGTGTTAAAAGTACTTTTCACTATGACTATGAGCTTCTAGTCTCACAAAGGTCACTTCTGCCATGCTCCAACTAACCTAAGAACAGCATCCTCTAGTTCAGAAGTACTGTTGTCTCCCACTCAGTCTCGGTTGACTGTGATGGGCAGGAATGTTGAAGCAGCCTGCCTCTTAAAGAAAGGAGTGACAACTGTGACTCCATCCATAAATTCATAGCGGAAAGATCTCTATCCTAATCCAGCTACGTTCGTGAACATTCCATTTTTCTTCCCTGGTTCCTGAATGCCAGGCAGGACCTTAGATGGGGACTGTTGTACATAGGCCTACATTTTGTATTATTGTGACAAGAGATAACTTATTTTTATGAGCTGACATTTATTTGAACGTGTACAAAAATTTGTATTTCTCCTAATTTAAATTACTGGGCAGTGCATTCCAGATCTTTGGGCAATGATACAAATGTTCTTTTACCCATTGTTTTAAGTTGTAAGTTTCATAGTGCACGGCATGGTATGGTTAAAGTAATTTTTTTCTTCTGTCATCTGATTATCTTGAACTGCTAGTTGGAATTGGAATGCATTGTTTCAACAAATTTGATCAATTTGATGGTGCATTTGTTACACATAGAGAGGCCAACTTGTACATATGATTCTTTTCTGAATAGGAAGGACGCCAGTGCAGTGTTCATAAAAAGAGGTATATAGCACAGTCTCTCTTTCTTTTCTGTAAATCTCAACTTGCAACATTGTTATTTTGTTTTCTTTTCACTCCAGACTCCAGAGATATCCCTGATAACCAAGAGTTATAACATTAACATAAGTCTTGACAAAACTTAAGGAAGGAGTTGACTAATTATAAAGCAGTATAGTTAGTGTTGATTAGTTGACATATTTTACTGCTTTAATTAATTTTTATAACTTTTCATATCTTAATGCTTGCAGCTGATTAGATGGTTTACCTCAGCTGACATTGACATATCATTATATTGGAATCAAAATAGATCCCAAGAATTTAAAGTTTTCTTGAAATTGCATTTCATGTTTCACCAATTTTAATGTAATCGTTGTCAACCTTATTTATTATAGGCTTTGCAAAATGATTTGCAGGTATTGTCCCAAAATGTAAGTTTTATTTTTTTACATGATTGTATTTTTGTATCACAAGGGAGAAAAACTGTTATGATTTTCTCCACAGATAAAAGTCTAGTACTACTACTAGCACATGTTTTCCGACTCTTAACTCTAAAGCTTTGAATTATTTAAAACAATTTCTGAGATGCTCTTCTCCAGTAAAGATTCCGAGTTGCTTGGCTTCGTAAATGGTGTAAATTGAGTCAGTTACTCAGTTAGGGGCAGGGGTATAACATTGTCATGTACGCAAGTAAATATCTATACAATTATCATGAAATAACAGCGGGTTTTTTTGGTGTTTTTTTTTTTTAAGAAATGGTTTGGAGGGTGCCACTGGTAGGTCCTACCTCTTTTACTTTCCAGCTGTTGTTTCTGTCTGTCTGTCTTATTTTCACAGCACTAAATTATTATTTCATCAATGTGTTTCTCTTTACTCAACGCAATTTTTTGTACAAGTTTCTAAAGTTTTCGGTGCTGTTTGACTTTAACTTTTAAAATTAAAATTGATTTCATTGTCATATGAAGAGAATTGATTCTTTACAAGGTTCGAATGGCATCTGTGTGGCAGATTGTGATGAGCTCGATCCCCATGTGGAGAGGTTGTTTTTGTTTAAATCTTGTATCTCCCTCTGCCTGCTTGGACGCTATGTCCCTCACAGCCCTGTTAGGGCTAACCAATGAGTCCAATGTGAGGAGGTTTGGGGAGTCTTTCTCAGTTATTTCTTGTGGTAAACAATACTTACCAGGGGTTTAAGGTTACTGTGCATGTAAGTAGCCTACATTGAGCAGCTGTTATCAGGAATTTTAAGTATGCAGTCAGGCACTGAAAACTCAAACGTATCGAGGATTAACAAATTATGTGTTCATCACATGCATAAAATTCTTTTTCTGGTTTACCGATACATGTATAGTGATGTATTAGATATAATATATCTGTTGAGGAATTGCAAAATGTACCATCATGATTTTGAGTTTTCTGTTTTCGTTTTATTTGTGCCCGACTACTTTCTATGAAATTCATTAGAATATAATATATACCATGTGTGTGAGAGTCATGAGTGCAAATGTAAGCAGGGGAATAACAGAATGATAAACTAGTGATTGTGTTTCTCTACATTTACTAAAATTCAGCTATGAGAGATGGCACGATGCATTTTGCAGAAACAATCTTTGCTGGGCTTCTCCTTGTATGGTTTTTACTCACCTGGCGGTGGAATGGTGGTTAGTGTTTACTACTTATTCAATTTCGTGGGGGGGGGGTCTCTGTTCCTTCTTCCTGTGTTGTTTTTGTCAGTCTGCCTTGTTGCTTCCCAGCACTAAATGAACGTTACTGTATGGATTTGCTTTTGTGTACTCAAAATTCAAAGTAGTCAAAGGTGAAAGGGTTGGAGGGTGGGGGGGTATTGTATTTCTTGGTTAGTATCATGTATAGTATCATTTGCTCTTTTTTTATGTCCATCGCTACTTCAGGAGCTCTGGAAGTCTTAGTGATTAGCCTGCCTATGGGTACTTCTGCATTATAAAATTGTTGTTTTTTTTGTTTTTGTTCATGCATGATGTATTTTTGTGTCAACTACTATCATGTGTGTTCTTCAGATATTACATGAGTATTATATTGGTGCTAAAGATTTTTGTATTTTTACGGAGAAATAAAATGGGCACACATACATACAGAGGTATATTTTTCTCATAATACATATAAAAGTAATGCATCCATGATTTGTTTATATATTTAATCAAATAATGTCTTTTGCCCTGTATCTATTGCTAGCCATGTACATTCCAACTTGTTCCACCCCCAGGGGTGGTACTACTTACTGAAGTGTCTTTAGGCCTTTCCCAAAGGGGGGAAATTAACATGTTCTTATGCACAGTAGAATTGTAAATGGGTTGATTCATCAATGTCGATCATGCTCCTGTGCCTGAACTGCATTTTTTTTTTCATGCAGATATTTTTCCATGATATTTCAACTCAGGAAGTGTGTTCTCCAGATTTTACGCGAGTATTATATTATTGCCAAAGATTTTGTATTATTTTACGGAGTTCAAAGAAATAAAATGCGCACACGTATACATATATCTATATTTATCTCTGGAATAATGCATCCATGATCTATTTATATTTGCTCAAATAATGAATTAAAAGGTCTTGTACACCATGTCTTTTGCTAGTCATGTACAGTCGAACCTGTTCTCATGCCACTCAAGGCCACCTGTATAAGACCTGTACAAACGGCCACTTCCCACTTCCCTCTTGCTGGTTTTTCTTTTCTTTTCTTCCTCTTTCTTCTTCTTTTTGGTGTGTGGGGGGGGGGGGGGGGGTTTTTTCCTACATTATAATGCACTGTAGAACCATTTTTCTAGTGGATGGTTGGCGGGTGCTCTGGTGTGGTTTGCTTCTTCTTTCCTCTATCGAACATCTATTGTCCTTATCTCCCCTTCTTCTTTTTTATGTTTGTTACTCTCTTGTAACACCCCTAATCTTCTGACGCTCATGTGATCTTATGAAGTTGCGAGCGCCGTAAAACATCTACTAAAACTTTAAAAAACATTTGTGAGGCAGCGTGGTGGAATCTGGCTCTCGTCAAAATAATCAAAGTGAAGAAACCTGCATTTTTCCGTAGGTTTGTTAATTTTAAACAAATTTTAGTTTTTTGGCCCAACACCTTTCGTACCCATTAAAGAACTCATTTCTGTGTTGATTTTTCATAAAAACGTTGATTAAAGGTACAAAAAATGTAAATTTTCAGTTACCACGGACTTTTTAACTAAGGAAATAACTAATCTGTGGAGGCCATATTCTCACTTATTTCACCTCTGAAAACATTTGACCCCCACCTCCTTCATTCGCAAATATCTCGACTTGTATTCAAGATAAATGGATACATTTTTAATCCAAATAAAGACAACTGAACAAGCTTTAAGATGATATCAATAACTCTACATGCCCAAAAATTGACAAGCGCCTGATTCCACCGCGCTGCCTCACATTTTTGTACACAACAAGGTGACTGTCTTAGACAATTTTGACTGTATTTTCTCATCAAAGCTGGGAAAAGACTTTTTTAAAGTTTAGTAGCAGGGTACATAAGTTTGAATGAAAACCATTTTTGTTTTGTTTTGTTCCCAATTCTTGGTGATTTACCTGGTGTGTTGGAGTTCACCTTTGATTTTTATCTTTGAAAGGACATGTTATTCTTTGTCCTCATGTACCAGTACTAGTCAGGGTAATTTTTTTTATACAAGAACTGAGACTGAAGCAAAGCAAAACTGAAGAAGTGTCCTTATGTTTCTTCACTTCTGTAATAACTGGCACTGTGCGGTTAGTAACGCCTTTGGCTTGACCGCAATTTTTTAATTCAAAATCTTTTAAGTTTAATTAAGTGTCTGAATTACTATTTTAATTGTCAGTTGTGGAATCTATTTTGTCTTGTCAGAGTGTTTGTTGTATTCGGAGACGGGTCTCTGTCTTTGGACTGACATTCCGGTTTGCTAATCTAATCTTCTATTTTGACTGCCCCATGATTCAATTTTTGTCTATGGAGGCGTCAAACGTTTACAATTTTATTTTTGTTTTGTTGGTTTGAGATACTTTGGTCTTTACAAATTAAAATACAGTAGCCTAAAATGTCTGCTGGTTTTTGTGTCTGTAAATTAAATTCTGAATATAATATTGATAATATGTATTTTATTTACTGTCAAAACTTGTTTTACCGCCACCCTTGGGACAGGCATGATGTTGGTAGAATCGCACGGCTGGCTTTTTAACGGGTTTCTCTGTTACTGCTAATGATGATAATGTGTCTCGCGTGCAATGGTCTTATGCAGTTGCGAGTACCAGT